CCCCAAAACCCCAAAACCCCAAATCTCAAGATTATTTCTATTAGAATTTAATTTAAATTACTTAGTTTAAAAATCCATGAAATTTTAAATTATTGCTTTTCACATCTTTTAAAGTCCTGCTTCTTTTATTTAGTAATCAACAGATAACTTGCTATTTCAGTATCACTTAGATATTCAAAGAGTATCTGAAACAGATTTTTTCTATTAATCCATAATCTATCCAGTTACCTACTTATCATTTTCATAATCAAAACAATACTAAATCTATAATTCAAAGTTTAATTTACCTTAACATCAGCTTAACTAGGATTAAGCTCCTTATTTTATTTTACTTAATTGGTTGATGACAATTTATCCTCAATACTAGTTTCTTCGTCTTCATAAACTAGTATTTTTCCTGATTTCTGCTCTTCATAGTCATAGGATTTCAAATTTGACTAATAGCTTTAATGAATGGTAATTTACTTTTTCTTGAACTTTAAGTTTATTAGGCTATAGTTTTCCAGTTGATTAGTTTTCAAATGAGACATTTTATTTAGCATTTTTAAAGGTTTAAATTGGATCATCTATTGTCTACGGATCTAGATGTTAAAATGTTGGGCACTTATGTTTGTTTTCAAAAGTAGTTGAGGTTGAGAGAAATTTCTATTTAAAATCCTAATTGGCATCTTTTGGAGTTGAATAGTCAATGTCTATGCAATACTTTGAGTCTTTTTCAAATTGATGAGAATCTTCATTAGCTATAACAGTTTTCTTTCTAATTTCAATCTTCATATTTTAAAGTTATGAAAATGGAATGAAAGGGTTCATCTATGTTGAGCATTTTCCATCCTGATCAAATATCTTAACTCCAAATTTCATTAGCAAATTGTTGAAACTAAACATATTTTAGTTCGTTTAGCCGTATTAATTGTGCCCTTTATTCTGTTGAAATGATTCTTCTAGAAATATGGGAGTCAGTTCAATAACAAATAATATGTCATCCTTTATTTGTTGACTATTTTAATTTTGAATTGCTGCCAGCTAGCCGAATGATCCTCCTTTAGATGTTGAAGTGATTTCAGTATTCGGCTAAGAAGAAAAAAGATTACTCGAAACTACTTGCTATCCAAATAACTTGGTTTGATCGATATTGGAAAACATAAAGAATTTGAGTTTTTAGACAAAAATAATTATATTTTTCTCCAACAAATATTCACTTATATGCTTATACTAAATTACACAATTTTAGAATTTTCACTTAAATTGGATAATTGGCTCATGGGGTTTTGGGGTTTTGGGG